TCTTGGCAGTACAAACATCATGATTATGAAGTTACATTGTAGCTGTACAGTAGGGAAGTGCATTTAACACTATATTCGATTGGAGCTACTGTAAGTGACGTATCCCTGGGGTCACCAACATCGAAGTTGATGCAGTTAGATTAGTTGATTGTCTCGAGTCGTGCCAACACCAAACTGCTTCAGTCAATCTGCAACGCCAGTGATAGTATGAGCGAAGCGTGCCTGTGATTGCTGCTGGGTGTACCGGATTGTTGGCAGGCTGTACGTGGTCTTCCACCGTAGCAACGTCGTACTCGGAGTAAGTCTCAAGCTCAGCTTGGTCTGGCACTTGCATAATTTCACCACATGATACTCTAGTACTACTAGTAGTAGGTGTGTTTCGTAGTTTGTTTCGTAAATACCCAGATAAAGGGGAAGTATAAAAAGAACAAGGCAAATGATTACAGTTGAGCTGTTTCTCCCAGGGAATTTGTCCGAGAATAATGAGTTGGTCGATTGTCATGACGCCATGGAGCACTCATATTCGTGGTACGCTCGTGGTGCAATACCGGTACTACTACATGTGTGAAGGTACTTTGCCAGACGGCTACGATACTGGTGGAGTATGAGGACACGTGCTGTACAAGAATGTGGTTATGTTTCCACCGTTCATAGTCAGTGGAACGACTACAGTATGTCACGATATGATGCCACATGACTTAACAGCTGATCAAACAGTTCAATAGATACTGTACTAGTACAGTAGTACCATGTCCTACTATATACTGTAGTATATGTGTAAGCTTACTAGTAAGCTGCAATTGCAGTACTTACCCACCAAGAAGGCGGATCAATGTACTCTAGTCTCACCCCCAGCTTCTGCCAAAAATCCTGCCTGTTAACAGTAAGCTGTTCCCGAGCTCCTGCGTGTGTGGACGGACGGACCCCTTGGACATGTGATTTTACCTGAACGACATACTAGTAACGTTACTAGTACGGAGTACTGTACTGTGAACTCCTCACAATTGCGCTGTGTCTTGGAACATAATAGCTCGACGAAAGGGCCCTTGACTGAGGCTTTGGTTTCATACTCGTACTGCCCTGTTGTGCGACACATTGTAGTCTTATCAATGCAATGCAGTGGCGGGGCTCGAGTGTCTTGTTACTTGCACAACGTACCACAGTGTTAAGCCGTGGTTGATTAGGTAAACTAGTTTCAACTTGACGGTCACTTTACAGCTAACGTTAGTGTAATTACCACAAGCACACCACTACATATATATTACTTCGAAGTAGTTAGTACGTACTAGTACTACTACTTGCGGATCGAGGGTGATTACACTTTCAGGCAATCCAATTCGGATAACAGTAGCGAGTATTCGCCATCCACTCGCCATTCCTTTTTCTCACCACCACATTCCTAATCAGTCTAACGCAGTTCGTTCAACAAGTCGCGAAGCTCCATCATGAGGCGATGTTTTGCGTCGCTGAAGGCTTGGGGCGCTCCGCTGGCTTTGGCGGCGCGTTCGCGTATGCTTAGGGTTGTGTCCGTTCCAATGCCATAGCACCCTTCGCACACAAGCGAGGGTGGCAAGCTATGACCTCTTCGGTGGTCCCATATGGAGAAGGCGGAGGGGTTGGGGGGGTCCCTTCCACTGTTGCGTTGCAACTGATGGACCACTCGGTTGTGTCTATCGATGCACGACGGCGACAGTCGAGATCTACTGACCAAGTGATTCATCGTGGACGCGGTTGAGGTAGTTGGTCGATAGGTCATGGGTGACCCACACAAAGGACACGGAGTACAGTCCAAGGTCTCGCCCGTTGGAATCGACGAGGGGGGTGAGCGGGGGCTGTGCTGAGATTGACGACATTGACCAGTCGCGACAACAACCGAATACGGCGTCACAAGAGGTTGCAATGATGATGAAATGGCAAGAGGATCGGCGGGTGACTCCGCGTGAGGACGGGCCGAGTCCATAAACTGTACGAAGCGTCGCCTCCGAGCTCTCGCGACTTTACATACCCAGAGGGCGAAGACGAGGGCAATGCATGTTCCCACCGTTCCCAGGACTATGATACCTATGCGGGACGGTGGTGGCGATATACGTGACACTGTGGGGGACGATGTCGCATTGCGTGCAGGAATGGATGTGGTGACGGTGGTGGTGGCTATGGTTGGGGCGATGGTCATTTTTGGTCTAGCAGTGATGCCAACTGCAGTGGTGGGACGCATCGATGGAGCTGAAGTGGTAGTCGGCAGTGAGATTTTGCTGGTTGCTGGGACGACAGTAGGGGTGCTGGGACTTATCGATGTGATGGTACGACGAGGTGTAGTTGGACGACCAGTGGTAGGACTAGGCACGCCTTCAGCAACGGCGGCCACCACTCCCCACGCGATCCATCCCCCAAACAAGTGCATTCGACACTGCTTCGTATGTCGGAAGATTGCACGAGCAAGTATAAACCTCACACGATGACGACAAATCAGAGAAATGATGTCAAGTTGTAAAGGTGGGTGTCACCAATGTCTAGCTGATTAGGCAGTGGCCATTGCTCGTAGTCTTAACAAATCCCTATTGCTTCCAACGAACATGTTTGCCAATGCTCTGACCTAACAGAGGTAAGCCCTCCAGCTCCGATGGCATGCCATGACGAGGAACTCGACAGCACGCACAAAAACTCGTTTCCGGATAAATATTTACCCGGATAATGCAAAATGCTGGACACTGATTGGCTCGATGAAACGATGCTGTGGTGATGGTTGGCATTCATTTCATTCGACCACCAAGACGCCATGGCCGCGCGCGAGATCATCCGCTTCCTGAAGAAGGCCGAGATCAGCTTCTCGTCCTTCGACTCCCGGGCAAGCGGTGCATGGTACGGTGATATGTTTGAGATGGAAGGTCCACATGTGACTGTAGCGAATTCTACCGCCAGTTGAACGCGGGCAACACCAAGAAGGTCAACCCCAAATGCGAAGTTGTGTACACGGTGACGGTCCACGGCAAGGCGGATCCGCTGATCAAGTTGACCTTCAGTACGTCAAACCGATCATCTGTCGCAAAGACTTCCCCTTTGTCTAATGCATCTTTACCTTCCCTAGTCAACGACAAACAGCATAAATTCGAAGTGCCAGGCCGAGATGTGCGCGATATCTTCAACGACGTGGAATACCATTGCTCGCTAATCGAATCCGAATTAGAAGCCCAAGGCAAGAGCATGGACTAAGCCCAATGCAATTCCGACCCCTTTGATGTCTCGGGTGGTGCGATAAACACGATGCGCATGTAGGGCTGCTCGTCATATTGGACCAATTGGTCAACACCACTGTACTGCCCCAACAAAGCTCCATTAAGCACTTCATGCCAATCCGCTTGTTTTCCTGGCGGCTTCCATACGCGCGAAGTCCTTCATGTACATAGTTTCGGACGGCTCCTCCCTACAACTACATGTCGTTCGATACCTGCAATGCAATCGCTATCGCTCCTTACACTTGGACATTGTACAGGCAAGTTCTGCGCTGGTGGTGAAGGCATATCACCGATCGCACGATTCCTTACCTACGCTCACGCGTGGATTTATTTAGCCAGGCATTGAGTCGGTTCTTCGTTGAGAGCGGAATGACGCAGGCCATCTCGTGTTATCACATCACCATGAACTACGTACACTCGCCCAATACTTGAAGGCATTCCCATTCTTGCAATAGATGCGCATGGAGCTCGTCCAAGTACTACTCGACGGCCCGCGCAATAGATGCGCATGGAGCTCCGAGTACTCGACTGCACCCGCCGCTAAAAACTCCCGCGCAATTTGAAAATGGAGCGCCTGACTAACGTTATTCTCGAAATTCTGGAATATCAATTATCCGGATAAACCCTTTTAAACTTAATTCCCTGTCATACTGCATCCGATCAAACACTGGATGCCCGTTGGCGGCATTTCAAAGTTGCAAGCAATCATGGCAGACCCAAACAAATGGCTTGGCTTGCTGCGATGGAGCATGCAACAGCAAGATGGCACACATCCGACGGAGTTCAAGGCCATGGATCCCAAGGACAAATTGTGGCTGGAGAAGGTCATGAAGGAGTGCGTGATCGATGAGGTCGAACGCATGTACCAGATCATCCGAGTGTGGGCAGGCGAAGACCCGCGCGATGTGCTGCCGAAACTCATCGCCGACCCACCGGCCAACCCGTACACACCCGAAGAGATTGAAGACTATAAAGAAGCATTGCTTGACGAAATGCTCACGCGCATCGACCAAATCGACAACGCGCAGACGTTCATCAAGATTGGCGGGTTGGCAAGTGTGCTGCACTTGTTTGACAGTCCGCGCGCCAGCATTCGATCGGGGGCCGCCGAAGTGTTTGCCACGTGTGCGCAGAACAACCCCCCCGTGCAGAAAGCAGGTCTCGACGGCCACATGCTGGAAGCATTGAGCAAATTGGCACAGGAAGACGTCGACACGACCGTCCGCGTCAAGGCAATCTTGGGCATCAGCTGCATGATTCGAGGCTTGGACAAGACGGCCGAGCAGTGGTTTGTTCAAAAGTGCGACGGGCTGCGGATACTCCAAGCATGTATCCAAACAGGCGACCTCCGGCTGCAGCGCAAGGCGTTGTTCCTGCTGCGGTACCTAGCGAACGCCAGTGCCACGAACGCCCAGCAACTGCTCGACCAAGGCGTGTACATCACCGCATGCAGCTCGTTCATCGGCAAGGACGACGTCGATCTCAACGAAAGCTCCCTCCAAGCGCTCGCCGAGTTCGCCGCCCTCGGCCCCGCGTTCAAGGCCGCGTGCAAGCAAGCCAACCTCGTGCAGTTGGTGCAAGCGCGTGTCGCCGCCATCGACGCGCTGACGAGCGACGAAGACCGCGAGTTTGCCCAAGAAGAAAAGAGCTTTGCGGCGCTGTTGCTGGAAACGCTGGACGTGTTGGAGTAAAACAAATAGTTTGGCCTCTTTAATATCTTGAAATAATAGTCCCCAGGAGGCATCTAATAACAGCGCAATAGTTCCGTTTCAAAATGATAGCTAGCCCCTTTCATACTTCTTTCAACAGGTCACACACTGCATATTCATATTCGACTACCCAGTGTACTATAGCAAGTGCATAATTTAGCAATTGCAACGATATCACGAGAAAGCCAAAACACCAAGCTTTCGATTGGTACAAACTTCATTGAGATCTTTCAAACTTGACAAATTTTGTGATAACGTTAAGCATAACTGTAAGGCAAAGTACCGAGACAGTATTTAGGAACGGAGTAGTGTACGAGACATAAATGCACTAACACTAGTACTATGCATGAGTAAAAGTGAGCTGGTATTGTGCTTTCGAGTGAAATTTCGTGTTGTGGCGTGGTTTCTCGTTGGAATTTAAATCGATTTAATTGGCTACCTCAGATGAGCTCAAAATTATTAGCCAATCAAAAACCCTCTCAATGAAATTCAACCAATCAGATCGATTGTGGATCGGTTTGGCCGGCGCGATTCGATTGCACCCCCTCCCCAAATTTGTATCAAATCGACAATAAGTGTTGCAATTTCCGGGCGGCAACACAATGACACTTGACTACCTCGTAGCAAAAACAGCGTACAAAATTTAAGCTTAAATCGTGCGAACCATAAAGCATATACTAGAAAACAGCATACAAATTTTAAGCTTAAATTGTGCGCACCATAAAGTATATACTAGTAACCGTTACTACTTCGTATTAATAGCACCTTTATGTTGCCTTGACTTGAGTGGAAATCGAAGTAAACGAATGCCCTAAACTGACGTCTATTCAAGCCATTAAATGATCCGAAGCTTGCCCAACCTTTCGGCTTTGTAAAGCACTTTTCAAAATTGAAATCCCGTCAAATAAGCTGCATTCTGTGACGAGGTCTCTTCCAAGTGCACCATAAGTTACTTAACTGTAAATTCATTGGCCATCTACGTTAACAGCATAACGTTACATAATAAATCGAGAACTTTTTCACGTAGTAATACCTAAAACCACCTGGGCAGGAATTACTATTCATACCAAACCACTACAGTACCGTAGTAGTACAAGAGAGGAGGCACCAAACACACACACATCAATGACTATGCACACTGGTAATGCAATAATGCCAAACCTACTAGCTTGTACCCTCCTTGGAAGTCGTCGACGCAAACCCGTACTATACGTCAAGTCCCATCCACACTTTTCACTCAATAATTGGCATGGAACCGGTTACATCAGTTACAAACGTTTCGACGTTTTCGCCACATCGTGGTGCTGCTTGTGTCATGGGCTGCGAAGACAATGCCAGTCATGAAACGTACTCGTTATGGTATGTCGGCGTCATCCTCGGCATTGGAGCGTCGGTGTGCACCAACATGGGCGTGAACCTGCAAAAGTACTCGTTCATGCGCGAAACCAAAAAGCCCGCGGCTACGAAACGTGGCTACTTGCGTCAACCGCTGTGGATGCTTGGTACTATTTCCTCATACATAGTACCCCTACGTAGCCATTCCCTTTCATCAACTTTACAGGACTGTGGCTGGTAATCTTTGGCAGCTTGGGTGACTTTGTGGCCCTGGGGTTCATTCCGCAGTCGCTTGCTGTTCCCGTGGGGGGCTCCACTATCGTGGCCAATGTGTTCTTTGCCCACAAGTTTCTCCATGAAGCCTTTTCTCGACGGGTATCATACATCTCGTTTCTGCAAGACAAATATATGTTTGGCGGTGCTGACAGTGAACACTATACTAGGACGGAATTGGCACGGCCTTGATCCTCACCGGCATCGTCGTGGTGGCAGCCTTCGCCGACAAATCGAATGGATGCCACACCCTGGACCAGCTCATTGCGCTGTACAGCCAGCCCGCGTTTGTCGTGTACGTGGCGGTCGTGTGTGTGGCTATGGTCGTGTTCTACTACTGCGTGCGCCGTATCCGGTTCATTGTACGGACATTTGGCAAAACTTCTACCCAGTACAAACGCTTTGCCACGGTATGTAGTAGTAGTACGTACGTACGTAGTAGTGGTTCTCATTGCTGTATTGGATGATCCCATAGTAGTATTTTACATGGTGAGCCCAATAATCTGACAATGACATAGTTTCATTCGTTGGTGAACCCAGCCTTGTCGGGGGTATTTGGGGCCCAGAGCATCTTGTTTGCCAAGTCCGTAGCGGAGTTGGTGAAAAGCAGTTTGGACGGCGAAAACCAATTCACGACCGTCGGCACGTACGCCATTGCGCTCGCCATGTTTGCCTGCATCTTCCTTCAGGTGTGTGCACAAGTACAATAGTTGTTTACCCCCCTTTCTTTGTACATTCGATCGTTCGTCGTTATTTTGCATAATTTTAAGATGTGGATACGGACGGTATATATTTTTATATGTTCACATTTGATTTTGGGGACAGATCCATTGGCTAGCGCAAGGACTGGAGCATTTCGATGCTGTATTCGTCGTGCCGATCTTTCAGGTATGAGACAAGTACTCCTACTAGTAGTAATCTGTACATGGTTCGAGATGCCTGTGCGGATAGGCTCCCGAGCTAGTAGTACTAGTAGTACTTCCTTCAAACTCATACAGTATTCACCGGAAATCGCCATGTTATATTTGTCGTAGTGTGTTTTCATCTCCACGTCGATTGTGGGTGGTGCCGTATACTTTAATGAGTTTGCCACCATGTCCACTACGACCGTACGTACGATCCATACAATTAATTGTAACTACTGTCTAACTCACCGTTTCAATTTCATCTATCCACCTTGCCATTTGGTGTCTACTTGCCGTATAACTAACTTATAATGTAGGTGGTGATGTTTCTGGTGGGGGTGGTGATCACGCTGTCGGGTGTGGGGATCTTGTCACGGCGGGACATGACGTCGTTGAAACCCAAGCAAAAGCTGCGCGCGTGCGTGCACATGGTCATCTTTATGAAGCGCATGCAAAAGTGCAAAGGTCACAAGTATCAATGGGTCGCATCCGACTCGAAGCACATCACAACCGCACCAACTTCGTCGTCGTCGATCTGGAAGCTCAAGTCGCATTCGATTCACCCCGTCAATGCAACCGCCCAGGACTCACCTTTCTCGCTCAACGTGTCGGCGAAATCCCATCCGTCTTGCAATGATACTGTAAATTGACGAGTATATTAACAGGTCAAAAGGGGCTGGTTTCACGAAGTGTGCGAGATTCGAGTATCAAGACGACCAATATTTTATGTACTTCTGTAGTTTAGCAGCAGTACACGCAAGGTGGAGCTGTCTCTGATAAGCCCATTTGTGCTAGTATAAATCTAGACTTTTGAACTGAAAATATTCGATATCGCTCTAAAATATGACAAACGTTTTTATCAAAGATTTTAGGAATTACGGTAACAGTAAAGACCCGCCGACTCCGAAATCCACTTTAACATCGTTAAAACCGTACACATTCATGTTGCTAACGTTATTGACTTTGTGTTTACCATGACAGCAGCTGAGCACCCTACAGCTCGCATAGGCGGCGGAATTTCACTCACAAGGGAATGTGGACCATTCAATTTGTGGAGCCGTATAGCGGGAGCTCAAATACGATTTTGAACGGGGAAACTTGTGTCACGTTAAGTGAAGGATAACTACCTCAGGTTTCACTCGTCTCGCAGCCGCGAACTGTGTATTTGCGAACGATTTTGTGGAGGTGAGAACATCACTTCGTTTTCCTGCGAAGTACCGCTATGTACTACCGGTACGCAATTACAGGTATGTATGTACTACGTAGTATCTGATCTATCTTCATTATACTGATGAGGCATGCTTATATTTTAATCAAGTCGAATGAGTGGCATTTGAGTCAAAAACCAAATGTGACCATTCTTGTTGGTCAGAGTATGTACTACTTACTCTGACCAACAAGAATGGTCACATAGTACGGAATAAGTGGCTCTGTGGTACTTCGAAATTGCACTTCAAATTTGTATTGGGACAAACTACTTCGAAAAGTAGAATACTTAAATCAATACGAAATTTTAGTACCACAGGGCCACTTATTCCGTCGTTATCTGTAGTACATAGTGACATAGATTTTTCATGTCGACCATCCAACACTAGCGATGCTCAACATGAGTGGCAACGCCATGGTCACGCAGATATTGGCCGAACAGATCGACGAAACATTTGAAGTCCAAGCTGGATTGTATCATTCTTACCAAAGAGTGAATGTGACGAAATTAACATTGGTCGTCCTTTTTATCCGGATGATGGCCCCGCATCCACTGGAGATGTGCCCCATTTGCACCAATCAGGGTGAAGTACCTTTGGACTCTCTTCCAATTGCATTTATCAATCAAATGAGTGCTATCGTGGGTGAAGCGGAAGCGCGCACGCATGGGTACTTGGCTCAAATCGCTGCGACTCCTGCATTGAGCAGCACGGAGCTGAACCTCCCTGGCCCTGTCACCAAGCATGTGGGCAAGGTGCGCGATGTGTACGTGCTCCCCGAGCGCAAGCAAGTCGTGTTGGTGTCGACGGACCGCCAAAGCGCGTTCGATCGCCAACTGACGTCAGTCCCATCCAAGGGCCAAGTTCTCACGCTCACGAGCTCGTGGTGGTTCAACGCCACGCGTCACATCGTGCCCAACCATATGATCGCGAACCCCCATCCCGCCGCCGTCATTTGCAAGCAGGCGACGGTATTTCCCGTGGAATTTGTCGTGCGCGGGTACATCACGGGCTCGACGTCGACGTCCATGTGGACCAACTACGCCAAGGGAAGCCGCGACTTTTGCGGCCACAAGCTCCAAGATGGGTACAAGCAGCACCAAAAGCTGCCTGAAAACCTCGTCACGCCCACGGTAACCGCCTCCTCCTCCTTCTCTCCACCTAATGCTTCTTCCATTCAGACCAAGGACGACGTGCACGACGAGCTCATCTCTGGCGCCGAAGTCGTGTCCAGCGGCCGCATGACGCAGGCACAATGGGACTACTGCCACACCAAGTCGCTCGAGCTGTTTGCATTTGGTCAGGCCACCGCCGCCACCCGCGGGCTCATTTTGGTAGACACCAAGTACGAGTTTGGCCTCGATAGCACGACGGGGGAGATCCTCCTCATCGACGAGATCCACACACCCGACTCGAGCCGGTACTGGCTCGCCGCTTCTTACGACGAGCGCATGGCCAGCGGCATCAGCCCCGAGAACATCGACAAGGAATTCCTCCGCCTCTGGTTCCGCGACCACTGCGACCCGTACAACGACGCCGTGCTGCCGGAAGCCCCCAAGGACCTCGTCCACGAACTGTCGCGCCGGTACATTTTGCTGTACGAACTCATCACGGGCAACCAGTTTGAGTTCCGCAACCCATCGCTGCAAGACACCGTTGGCCCGTTCTTTGGTTAACTTTCGAGTCCTGAATATACATGTACATTCATGGCTGGCTGGCTGCCTCTCCTATGGTGCTTTCAAGCAAAAGTGGGTCTTTTTGGTACTAGTAGACGAATCTATTAATAGTACCTGAAATATATCGTCGAGACGACATTTTACTTGAAAAATAACAGCGGTGTAAATATATTCCCTGGGACTCTTGTGCTGAAATGGGATACGCCTGCAATTTGATTGGTCAAAGATCTTTTTTTGAAATTTGATTGGCTATTTCGGTCCGTCGATTACTGCGTCGATTTTGCTTGGTACCAACCAATATTAATCGTACTATTATTATTACCACTGGTACTGTATGTATACTAGTAACTATTAATAGTACTAGTAGTAGGGAGGGTCAGGAATGATGATCATTGTTCCTGTGTTCCTCGTACTATTAATACTTCACAAATTTTTATATACTTTTCTCATATTCTTCTTGGCTATGTACCCAACCCATAAATGTCCAAATACAGTATATACAACACCAGGATATGGACACGAATCATATTCTTCTTGGTTCTGTACCCAACCCCGTCTCCTGTGGATCCTAGTACAGTTTCAATTTGTGCATTATTAGATGGCCGCCCGCCCGCCTTCGTCATGTCCACCGCCGCCCAACGAACATGCCATCTAGTCTCTCTTATCTGAGCTTTTGCTTCTTCTTTTTGCTCTCGGCCAAGAGCGTTTCCTTGTGAATCTGAAAGTCCTTGCCTTCCGACGGACGCGCCACCAAGTACCTACAAAATACATTCGCATCACACCTTCATATTGCACTCTGTCGCATATATATTACGGTTCCAAGTCGATGGCGAATCGGTTGATCTGATGGGATACGTCGTCGATCTTGTCGTCCGTCGTGACCGAGTACACCTCGACCAGATACGCATCGAACGGCACGCTGTCCAGCGGCAACTCGTCCTTGCTCTCCACCTTGTCCAGCTATACCAATCATATTCAGGGTTGTCCTAGACCCAAGCAACAGACAGTACCTACCTCCTTCATGCGAGTCGCTTCGACCGTGATTCCATTCGGGAAGACCCACCGAGTTCCTGATCGCTTGTACTGGAATGTTTGCCTACCACCCATCACGAGAGGATGCGGAGAGTTAGCGACGATCTAGCATGTTGTAATCGTACCGAAATCCGAGGGTCGTCAAGAAGACGCCGACGTTGTCGCTGGCCGACATGGCGGTCTGACTGCGATACGGCACGGCAAAGTGGCCTCGGGTGTGTTGCGGGGTCTGCTCCGACGGCTTCTTGCGCTCCCATTTCCCCACATGTCGAAGTTCCCTGCATGAAAGAGTGTGTACGATGAGAAGGCGCAGATGGACGTGCTGTACAAACACACCACTTTTGACCGCCTCCGGACGACGGCATCTCGACCGCCGCGCCGGAAAATGTGCAGGAGCCGTAGATGACGTTCCGAGCACGCACTTCGTTTGGGACTCCTACACAGGCCGCGGTGACATGCGTTCGTTCAGGCGACACAATATACGCATGTACCTTGGGGGCTCTGCGCGTCGATGTTGTACACATACTCGTTGTACTCAAACTTCTCCTATGACAAGTTGATCTCGCATAAGGCATGGACAACACCACCATGACGAGGAGGACCTGCATCATGTACCTTCTCAGTGTCGTTCCCACACAAGCCTCGGATGCGCTCCTCGAACGCAGAGTACTCATTCTTGGACACTTCTCCCTGGAGGTTCACTTCGAATGACTTGCTGCTCACCGCTGCCATGCTTGCTTCAGGTGTGCAGTACCTTCGGTGGATTCGTGCAAATTATCTGAATTTTAACTAGTCATATTGGTCTATTTCGAAGGAATCGAAAATTAAGAGCTTTGATTCGCTATAAATGCATCCAATTTTGACGAATCAAACGACATTAATTTTCATGCGGCAGCAAAAGCATTTTCAAATTCGCATTCACATGAGTGTGCTGCGCGAAGAATGCTTCGAAGTCATTGGGCAGAGCCTTGGCTTGGACCGCCTGGCGCCAGGATGCGCTGCCGAGTTGGCGCCGGAGATCGAACTGCGGCTCCGTGAAATCATCCAGGACGCCATGAAGTTCAAATCCCACGCGCGGCGAGATCGCTTGACCGTGCGAGACATCAACCAAGCGTTGTCCTCGCGTAACATGGAGGTTCTCCATCTCACTTCTTCTATGTCTTAAGGATACATGATGTAGGTGCTATATGGTTTTGGCGCTGGCAACTCCACAAAGTTCCGCAAGATCAGCCCGGGCCTGTACATCACAGACGAGGTCGAGGTGTCGGTCGCAGACATTTTGAACGCGCCGCTTCCCACGATTCCGTTCGAACCCACAGTGCACATGCACTGGCTGGCCGTCGAAGGCGTGCAGCCCAAGATCCCCGAGAACGACGTCGCCGACTCGAGCAGCAGCGTCGTGGACAATCCTCTTCCGACTGTCACCATGAACGCGCCCGATCCGTCGTCGAGCGGCGTGGAGCGCAAGCCGCTCGTGAAGCATGTGCTCACAGACGAGATGCAGCTCTACTTTGACAAGGTGACGGACGCGATCAAGTCGGACGAGTACGCGCGCCAGCACGCCGCGTACGCGAGCCTCACCAAGGACCCCGGCCTCCACCAACTGCTGCCGTACTTTTCGAAATTCATCTACGACGAAGTCAAGCATAGCCAACGTGACCTTACCCTGCTCACCGCGATCCTTCGCATGGCGCGGTGTCTTCTCTCCAACAGCTCCCTCCGCATCGAGCTCTACGTAAGTGCGTGTCTTGGTTCCGTGGATATGGTGGACTTGTCATTCTGGTTATAAAGGTCATGTTTCCCCATGTTATAGGCATGGTCTCCATGATGCGATGGCTATATAAAACTTGGTTTTATTAAAACTTGGTTTTATTGATTATAAAGTGTGTTTCTATAATTGATATGAAATGGAATATTCGATTATTGTTTCACGGATAATATGATTATTAATATTAGATGGAACATTGCCATGGCTACGCGTCTAAAACGTGGTGTAATGTAAACTATACAATTGACGTTTCGTGTTTTTGTGTGTATACAAGGAATATGATGAAATATTCAAATTATGATGTCACATATATTATTATTAATATTAGCTGGAACAACTCATTCCGTCCATCTTGACGTGCGTACTCAACCGTCAATTGTGTGAAAACCCGGCCGACGATCACTGGGCAGTCCGCAAATCTGCGGCGCAACTCATGGCGCAGATATGTCACCGGTACATACAACTATTGATATATATATATATATATATATTTTTTTTTTTTTTTTTGATGAAATATATTCATTTCTGTGGTTACCATCTCGTAGCTTTGGTGGGTCGTACGAATCGTTGCAACTTCGCGTGTCCAAAACCTACCACGAAGCATTTCTCGACCCGACGCGCCCGTTCACGTCCCAGTATGGCGCCATTGTGGGTACGGACAATGATGGCCATTGGATAATTGTACGACCACCATGGCCTGACTGTACGACCTCGTCGTAGGGTGCCTGTATTTGGGGCCATTGGTCATGGAATCGCTGCTGTTCCCACACGTTGCCACGTACTTGGCACGGCTCGAGCCCGTGATGTCCCCCCAAAACCCAAACCTCGTCCAACGTCTCGAAGCTTTGCATTGCGTGGGTATATTGGAGGTATCCTCGTTGCTGTACAACTTGTATACAAACTCCCTGACTGAAAATACATACATGTATATAATAGCAAGCAGCGGGGCAGTACTTGTCCCAGCATATCCAGCCAGGCCAACATGCGACTCTATCTCGGGAATGTCTGGACACGATGCATGTGCTCGACGCTGTGTTTGGTGAGACGCTGACGCCGTACATTTGCCCATCACTGGGAGACCAAGCGACGACGTATATGGACTTAACATGGTAGCCATAACTATAGGTAGTACATACATTCATATAGCTATTATACCAGTGTTGCTCCAGTTTTATAAGTAAGTGCTGGCAAGAGCGTGGTGTCGTGCAAAAGACTCGTCAACATGGTGGACGTATAGCTGTGCTAGAACATTGTTGGACTAACTAGTACTAATATATGAATGGTCGAATGCAACGTAGAAGCGTTAATCGTATATAATTGTCGTTCACATGAATATATAACTCAAGGACTTTGATTGGTCAAAATGGTGTAGGATAAGTTACTACTACAATATGATAGGTAGAAATAGGTCATAGAGACGATTCATTGGCCAAAATTATAGCATACAAATACTAAGTGAGGTCGGAATATTGATCATATTCATCGTTAACGTGAATATATATATAACTCAAGCCTATTAATAGTGTAGTACTACTATTAATAACAGTATACTAACTGTAAATAAAGGACTATTAATAGTAGTATGCCAATTTTTTAACAGTAAGGGAGGGTCTGGATGCCACGAAAAATAGCATAAAATGGCCGTTTTTCCAAGAAAACTTGGCAAAATCGAAAATTTCGCATGTACAGTTAGTAATTGCTCATGGTAAACGGTGCCAACGTCACTGTTTGTACTATGAATAGTATTAATACACAGTAGTACGGACAGAAATCGACAACCCCGACTAGGCCTAATAATTCGATAGTATTAGAGTTTTCGGCATGCACTTACAGTATGTTAGTCGGGGTTGTCAACTCTAGGAATCAATCTGTGGACTCTTGAATCGAATACATACTGTATACATACTAGTAACAGTTGGTGCTTCTTTAGCTTCCTATCTGGTGCATAATTTACGATGATTTGTCAAAACTAGTAGTAGTAACGTTAACTGGTTATGTAGTAATGGCTCCGACAACTCACCAGTGTATTTTTTGCGAGAGAGATCAAACATGGAATGGCCATCCAAGTTGGCGTTCGTCACTGTGGTCACTATCGTGGTCACTATCGTCAGTGTCACTATCGCTGCCATTGTCATAGGCCCAATGCCTTCTCAATGCAACGGCGTCGTGCATTGTAAAGCTCGAAGTGGATCTAACTGTACTCTGGCAATGGGTCTGTAAGTAGGCGGCCACGGCGCCGTAGCCGCGATCTTTCGCCTCCTTTAAGCCAGCGTCGGTGCCGCTTTCGCACCGGGTGGTGTGGAGCCATTGTACGACCTCCAGATGGCCATTGGTGGCTGCGTCATCCATGGCGTCGGTCGTACAACCTTCAGTGCGGTGGAAATGCAGCCATTGGACAATTGCCAAATGGCCTCGTCTCGCGGCGCCGTCCAGTGCCGACGTCGTGCAGCCTTCAGTCCGATGGACGTGTAAAAATTGCACGACCTCCAGATGGCCATTGGTTGCGGCACCATCCATGGCCGCACGCGTGCACCGTTCTCGACGATGGGAATGTAAAAATTGGACGACCTCCAGATGGCCATTTGTGGCAGCGGTGTCCATGGCGGAGGTCGTACAACCTTCGTGGCGATGGTGGTGGAGAAATATGACCACGTCGAGGAACCCACGGGCCGCGGCGCCGTCCAAAGCGCGCACGGTCGCCCCGCCATGGGTGTGCTCATGCAGAAACTTGACGAGATCGAGGTGTCCTGCAGATGCTGCTTCGTCTAATGCGCGGTAGGTGCAGCCTTCCCCGCGAGTACGATGAAGGAACTCGACCATGGCCATGTGCCCGGCGAGCGAGGCTAAGTCCATCGCGGCGGTGGTTGCCGCCCCGCCAAGCGAATGCAACAACTGAACTATATGCATGTGTCCGTGGAACGCAGCAGCGTCAAACGCGCGGGGTGTCAACCAATGGGGTTTGCACGCGAGCCACTGTCGGACGCGATGCTCATCGCCTTCAAAGATCGCAAGGTGGAGCGGCAGGTAGACTTGGCTGGAACAGTCCAAGCAAAGAAACGACAGGTCAATGGACTTCTTTCCGTACGCTTTGAAAAAACGCCCCGGAAGCACCAATGGCGCCGTGCCACGACGCATGCGTGCCATGTACCGGCCTTCGTGGTCGTATGGGACGAGGTCCGCGAAGATTCCGCATTGAAACGATGTGATCAGCGCCATAAGATCCCCAGCAAGGGCCACCGAGCGAAACAGGTGCATGTGGACTGTGCGTCGGGGCCCCACTCGCGCTTTCTTCATCACAAGGACCGCCGTCGACATGGACCTCGGACGCCGGCGGCGTGGTAGAACAAGTTTCGTCGCCATGGTTAACAAATTGATTGTGTTGAGAATCCAACCTTCGGAAAAGTAAGTAGTTTGATTGGCTGATTTACACCAAATAAAATATTGAATCAGGACTGATATTCTCACCACGCTCAAATGGTGAGCTGAGCTTACTAAGAGGAGCTCCGCTAGTACTATTAGTACTGTCGTTAGTAGTACTATTACTATAATTGTGAGTCCTACAGGTATTGAAATTCACACTCTTCATCACAAGTTGGTTATCGGATGCGAGTAAGCTGAATTCTACGTATACGGTCCGTTCCGTCTAATTCGAAACATGTACTATTCATAGTACTACGTAGTACTATATCGCGACTTAGTTTAGGTTGTTGGAGTGCTAACTATAAGAGACTAGTACTACTATTAATACTACTACTAGTATTAATACATACTACAGTACTAGTAACTCCTGAGTATTACAGTACTTCGAAGTAATAATATTTGGGAATAGTATTAGTAGTATTAAATCATAAGGCCATAATAGTTACTATAAAATTGTATGCAACTTGCTGTCAATTAAATACAAGTATATTATTAGTAGCAGGGTCGTTTTCAGTATAATAATACTAAAGTAATGACATGTCCTGAAATTGATTGCATCTTGGAAATTTGGACGCTCCCCGATGTTGTCGTTGCCATGGACCCGAACGCGTGCGGCACCCTCGATGAAGGAGGAGCGATCTCCGACGTCCTCTTCGTCGTCATCTACGTTGTTGTCTGAGAGCCGAGAGACCACCGCGGCGCGTCCGATGCTGTCGACGGAGCGTCGCGACGAGCTGCTCCAAATGGCAAGGGCGAAGCGGATAGCATGGGTGGAAGGGACTACTGGAGGTCTGGGTCGGAGACGACGTGGCTCTGATTCGTCCAAGCAGCAGAGCAGCACCATGCCGAGCCATGTGATGGAGTTGATGAAGTGTGCGGACGACATGCTTCATTTCGTGGAGAGTTTCGACGTTGTCGCGACGCATCCGCCATTGGCATCTGACGCGAGGAAGGATTCGTCATCCAATGCTTCCCCGATATCGATCTTGCAAGAGATCGTCGCATCGAGCGAGCATCTTCCTTCGTCGAACGACCCTTCGGACCTGCCACCACTGCGGTTGGATCCCACGTTTCAGCGCGCGTACAACCAGCTGCTGGACGTGCTCAAGCATCCCGACGCCGCCGACTTGGTCCATTCGATCCAGGGCTTTGTCAAGTCCTTCCACGAGACGGCATCTTCCTCCTCTCGCACGGCATCCACCTCCTCTCGCGGCGACAAGGTCCACGCGTTCATCAGCCACTTTCTCCATCTGATGCAACTGTCTCCGTTGATCAAGACCCTCGAGGCGTCCAGTCCGGATGCATTATCCGACCTTCGAGACCACGACATGCGGCGGGAAACATTGGAAGCGTTCGTGATGGAAAAGCTCCATGGCGCGGCATTTGGAGCGTGTCCGCAGGAAGACGCGGCGCTCTCGCAGCGCATCGCGTCGCTGGGGTTTTTGTCCTTTGAGCACCTCGACATCACCGCGACGTCGGACGTGGCGCGATGGACATGCATCCAAGCGCGGCTGTCGCAACTGCCGCGATTCCTGAGTCCACGGCGGCAGATGGCGTGCATCCTCCAAGTATGCCACGACCTGACCCACCTATTGAAAGACCATCTGGGCGGCAAATACCCCGGCGCCGACGACTTCCTCCCCGCGCTCATCTACACCATCCTCAAGGCGAACCCCCCGAACTTGCACAGCACGGTCGCGTACATCCAAATGTATCGGCATCCGTCCAAGTTGATGTCCGAGCCAGGGTACTTCTTCACCCATGTTGTGTCGTCTCTGAGCTTTCTAGAGCATTTGGATGACTCGGGGCTATCGATTTCCCCCGAGGAGTTCCATTTGGGGCTGCAACAAGTGTCGATGGAGGGCGACATGCAACCACAAGCGGCCGTGGACGTGCAAGGCGGGGCGACTAGTAGTACTAGTAGTAGTAGCACTGACAACAGTGCAGCATTGAAAGACAAGCAAGATGGAAATATGGGGTCTGTCCTGGATGTATGGCATCGACGGGCTCGAAAGAAGTCGTCGACTGCGATGCAAGTCCCCCTGTTTACGTTTCACTTGCCTCCCCTCATGATGCCGCCGCCGCCCGCCGCGGCCGCCGTCACAACAACCAACTCGTTTGTGGACATGGCACCGGACGACCTGAGAGTGCAAGATGTGCCCCATCTCCTCGCAGAATACAAGCTGCTTAATGTCCTGTGCCATCAACATGGTAGCGTCCGGTCGTCGCAACATAATAACAACATGGCGATGTGAATGTACTAATTAGTATGGCGGTATATGTTAGTTGGGTGTTCGAGTAACGTCATTAGTATACTACTATGTACTAAAGTATGCATAGACAGTCAGTCTGTCCTCCATCGTGGCCAACACTGTGCTTGATCGTTGAAGTAGCAGACTACTAACATTACTGGTAAAGTACTAGTAGTAATCATTAGTATAACGATGAACATAAATTCTTTTTAAGTAATCTTCACCACTTTTCGTAATAATACTACTCCTCTGTTAGTAGGATTAACAAGTGTAAATACATACTTCGAGGTACTACAGTAGTGTAGTAGAATACTACTTCGAAGTCGCATGTTGCTGTGAGTACTCCGGAGTACATTCCTATACTGTATGATACCCTAGTATTGTCCTTTTACCCAAAATTGGACTTTTGTGCTGAATCGCCAAATCTATCTATCGATCGATTCTTCAGACTGAATATTGTATGTAAAAAGTTGTCCTGTGATGATTGGGGTCACACTAATTTGACGTTGATCATGGTTTCCTGCAATCGGATTGGCTAAATATATCCTTGTGCTGATTCTTCTGTCCATTTGGTTGTGTCGATTCATTCTAACAGTAAACAATAAATACGTATAGGTTCCTGACGTGGACAAGCAAGAGGACTTCGGTAGAAACGACATGCGTCATGGGACTAGAATGTAAGGATTTGCGCATCATAAGTTAACCGGTGGACATGCGAACACGGTACGACCTGTCGTCCAAATTCGTTGCCTCGGATGCCGCGGCAGCCGGCGTAGCGTGGAGGAAGTTCTGCAGTGCGAACATGGAGCCTTCGCATTTGGGAACGACATGACCTTGCGCGTGGGTGTGGCGGGAAACGAGGTGGGGATGGGTTTCTTGCTCGAAGAGCGCGGCCAACTCTTCGGACTTGGACGTGGGCACGACTCGGTCGTTCATGCCACTGACATGGAACGAGCGAATGTCCGGCACGAGTCCACGGGAAAAGATGCCGTCACTCGGGTTCATGTAGCCGCCGAGAAAGATCGCGACGGACGGAGTCCAGTCGAGGTCGTCTTGGGCAACTTGGGAGCACAGCCACGATGCGAGGGACGCGCCTTGGGAGAATCCAACGACGCCATCGATGGGACCTCGGTTGTGCAACGCCTCAGCAACGTAGTTGATGACTTGGCGCTGGGTGTGTGGGTTCAAACCCTCTTGTGGATCCCACCACGCGCGGAACGCAGACGTGTCGATTGGTTTGGTCACTGCCTTCGGTACGAGGTTGATGGGTCCGTCGAGGTAGACGAGCTCCACACCATGAGGCAAGAACCGAAGCAGGTGCTCCGTTTTGCTCCGGAACACCGCGCTATTCTGGTACATCCCATGGAGACAGAGCAGCCGCATGCTGGTGCTGTGGCGGGCGTCCGACTTGATCCACCAAGCCAGCAGTGTGAAACGCCAACGAATAAAAATGGCTCGTGACTATTTTAGCCAATCCGATTGCGTTCACTGGATACCAAAGTGGAATTTTAGCCAATGGAATTACAGAAATCCGATGACACCACCAGCTATGTGGCCAATAGGAAGCGTCGGGATAAGAAGATGCCAAAATCAACCGGAAGCGGCGAAATGCGGACGAACCGTGGAATTGGACGGCGGCGACGATGGCGGAAGAAGCATGGTACGAGGGTGTGGAGTCTCATTATGTAGAATGGGCGTATCGTCGTGTTCAAGGGACTGCGGGGACGCTGTTTGTATACGTGGCAAGTGGCGAGCGATAAGTACTGTAGTCGGCTGCGACGGTTTACGTGTATGGACGGAGGGTCGCGAAGATTGCTTTAGATTCTACTCCTCATGCGATGGACTCGTCGGGGATTGAAATAGTTCGGGAAACAATGCATCATGTGACGTAGGGGTAGTTGTAAGGTATATGGTTCATTCTTAAATACAGCAAGTTCTACAGGATGGTTCACAACTCATTCGGCAGTGGAGCAAGGTTGCGCCGCATTGCGTTCGGCCAGAGCACGGTGAAAGGCCGACGTGATGGCATAAAAGCCAAGCTGCTGGTGCGATTTCTTGGTGCGTTTCCATTCGCGCTTTTGAAGGAGGCCCAGCTCGTCTTCGAGACGGCTACTGAGGATAACCAGGGCACTGCCGGCAGCATCGCCTTCGGCCGCATCGACTTCTTGCTCGTCGTCGACAGATGGAAGACGAGAGCGCTTCGCAAAGCGAGTTGATGTATGGATTGGGGACCCAAGCGGCGTGGGAGGGATCATGAACGCAACGTCGCGCGTCTCCGCGGCAACTTGCAGCGACGTCAGACACAGATCGAACGCAGCCAATGCGGACGCGTCTGCGTCGTCCAGGGTCGAAGAGGTGGCGCGCGACATACTGCCGCGGCTTCGCTTGACCTTTTTCTTCTTGAAGTGATCGACCAAGCTGACCAAGCTCATGGAGTCACAGGAAGGTGCGTGGTGGGGCAAGAAGACACACACACGAGAGAGATGGATTACTCAACAACGGGAGGCAGCTACGCTAGCACACACACGTCCACGACTTCCGAGGTAGGTCTGTGGATCGCGCGGCAACAAGGGATTGCGTCCGAGTCCGACTGAAAAGTCGACTTGCGCACTACACGACAAATTCCGAAATGAAATGGCGAGCCAAACTCGAGACGGTTTCTGGATTCTAGTATCCGGATACGGATAGTTCCCGCGCCACGATGCCATTGGCTAATGCCCAGAGATTAGAACTGCTGGAAGTAGCGGAGCACTCTTCCCTCCACCAACCCCGTCATGCAGCAGAACTCAACGGGACATGGCCATCGAATCGACGTTTAGATGAGGCGCACACAGCCACAACAGTCTGTACTCATGCTGGCAGACATATATCCAAGATTCCTTCGACCGTGCATGGCTACAACGGTCGGCACTATCACATTCTGTGTTCGCACACGTAAACCCTCTTCTCTCCCCCGCTCATGACCTTGGCCACACGATATGTGTGCATCCCTAGACGAATCCCTTCTAGCAGGCCACTACCTCGAACGTAATGGTTTCACTTAGGAATAGTTGTTGGCTATGGAAAGCCCGGCGCTTGGACTTGCACGACGCGATGTTCAATGGACGCGAGGAATGTTGTGTGGTGCTTGGTGCCTCGAACCATGACGTTGAACACGGGAATCCCAGGCACAACGTACTGATGGTGCTGCAGCAGCGTCGCCAACGTACAGAACGCCGACACTTCGAGCCACCACGTGTGTTTGTACGAGTGCTTTTCTTCTTCGCGCAGCCGGAGGGTCTCCGCTACGTCCGTCTCAACTTCGCCGCTCAGGGCGACATGCCACGCATCGTCCGTCACGAACGGCACGACAACGTTGGCCACGGCGTACACGACCAGCTGCGACGCCTTGTAGTCACCGCGCGCGTCCCACATGCACAGCGCCCCTTCCTCCGGAAACATGTTGGCCAGGTGCTCCACGAACATATCCTGGTCGTCAAACTGCTGAATAAAGTCCGACTGTCCGTATTCGTCGTATAAAAACAGCACCGGCCACGCCAAGTTGCCCGTATCCGGATTCAGGTCCGCCTTGCCCTCGAAATCGGTCACCCGGCGGTCAGAGATGACCGCGGGGCCGACGCGGACGTGCCGCAAGTTGCACAGTTGCTTGTACTTGTTGGTCATGGCGCGCCGTTTCTGGCGTTGAAACGCGTCCAGTTCGGCTTCCACGCGCTGTTCTTCTAGCTGCACTAGCCCCGTGGCTTGAAGCGAAAGCAAATCCTTGTGCGTGGGGTCCACCTTCAATCCGACTTTACAGTACCGCAGCGTATCGTCGGGTTTCTTGAGCATGCTGGAGGCCTTGGCGCCGCGGAACAACGCTTTGATGTTGGACGGCTCGAGCTTGAGCGCGCGCGCCGCGTCTGACCGACAGCTGCCAAAGTTCTTGATCGCCAAATGACACGCCGCTCGGTTGTTGAACATGGCGGCGAGCAGCTGCGTGAGCACAATCGGCTCGTCGAAGTTGTACCCCTGCAACACCTCCGGGTCGGTCGGGTCACTCACGGCCTTCAACGCATATGACACGCCCTTGGTGTACTCGTCGATCGCATATGTGTAGTAGTTCTTGTTGAACTTGCGCGCGTCGCTGTAGTGCTGGTTGCCCTTGGTCTTGCACGCCAACGCGAGGGTCTCGGGCGTCTCGCCTTCGTCCACAAGCGCCATCATCGCATCCACCATCACGTCGTCTTCGAGGATGTGGTCATCAAAGAGAGACATCTCGGGAATGCGATCCAGATACGCTTGTCGCTCGTCGTTGGTCCACACCTTGGACTCATCGAACTCGAGTTCCACTTCGCTCATGCTTCTGTTTTGGTTGTGAATGCTGCCACCAATTCAAACTCGACACCACCACGATTTCATGACATTTCTGCGGTTTTGAAATAATTTAATCGACTCATACTTATTTCAAGTAATATTGCCTCCGAAATAAAACTGTCTTTTGGTAGCATTCGTACAATATTATTGGTGGAAATTCACAACCATACGACGTTTTAGCACCAATCCAATCACGTTATTTGTAATATCGAGATGTGATTGGATAAAAGAAAATACCCGGGACGTCGTTTGTAAATTATGACGACCGCGATAGCCAGTCGAAGCCGCCGGTTCATCCACATGGTAGCCGCCCACATGCAGGTTCCGCCGCAACTGTCTGCTTCATCGCGTCTGGGGTCATTTGGGTAGTCATCATGCATGCGTTCTCGTCTCACGCATGAACGAATGTAGCTTGATTGCCGACGTCCAGTACGCCGACGACGACGACGGGTGGAACTACCGGCAGACGAATCGTCGGTATTATCGCCATGGCCTTCAAGTCCTTCGGTGGGCCGCCGCCGAGTGGATCGACGAAGCCGCAACAGTGTCTCCTCGCATGCGCTTTGCAGTGGACCTGGGAGACGTGATCGACGGCAAGAACGAACCGGTGGGACAGTCGCTCTCGGCTCTTCGGGCGACCACCGCCATCTTCGACGAGTTCCAGGACACCGTCGGCCCCGTGCATCACTGCGTCGGCAACCACGAGCTGTACAACTTCTCCAAAGCCACGTACGTTGAGGAGCTCATCAAGCACACCCAGTCGCGCCACGTCGGCGCCGAGAGCCTCCCGCCGCCGGGGACTTCCGTGGCGTACTACACGTTCACAGACCCAACGCTCCCGTCGTACTTGTTCGTCGTGCTCGATCCGTACGGCCAATCTGTCATCGGCAGCCCCGTGGACTCGCCTGAATATGCCAACGCCGTCGAGGTAAGCATCAAACAATGCAATTACGATGCAAAGTTGACCAGTTTTGCTTTTGGTTGGCTGCAACAATGAAATACTACGTAGTAGTACAGTATGTTTCGTGTGTGTTTTGGTAATATATTGTGCATTTCACCCAATTTTGTGAGTCATTTCGCCAAATGCATTCGAATCCATTTGATCCAATTTAAGCTTGTAAAAACAACTATAGTATACAAAGATTAGTATATATATATGGTTTTGCCCAATGCGGATTTGATTGGCCTAGGAGGTTCTTTAATCGATTCTCTTAACACATTCGATTCTGCTGAGGGCTCCAGTTTCGAATCGATTTGACAATATATATAACGTTATGATCAAAGCATTTTCGCCAGTTCCTGCTAGTACATGATTCGGTGTTGCTATTTGAGCTATTCGCTCGTGATAGCAAGTGTCGTACTTACTTATGTATATTGTCGTATCCTGATATTGTGTTTTTCACCCAACTTTGGACTAATATTATTATTGATCCATTTTGCCAAATCGCTTTTGATCCAACTATATCATACAAAATGTAGTATACCTGATACGGCGGGATTGCATCCGTACTTTTTTGGATTGGCAGAAATTCGACAGAACGTGATTTTTGATTGGCTTTGGCGGTTCTTTAATCCATCCACAGTTTCGACTAATCGATATTTGACAAGAATATTCGTTTGATCACATATCTTAGTTTTTAAACGTGCACAACCCGAACGTGAACAAGAACTCTCCGCTGGGGATGCCACGCGATGAAACCCTCCGATGCACGGAATTCAATGGCGCCGTGGACGACGCGCAGCTGGCGTGGCTGGCGCAAGTGCTGGCGACCGCCGCCTCCCAGCGCCAGAACGTTGTGGTCTTTTCGCATGTGCCGATTCATCCAGACACGTGTCGGCCGGGCGGCGTGTTGCTGTGGAACTTTGCCGACGTTCAATCGATGCTGGAGCAACATGCCGGTGTCGTGCGCGCCGTCTTCTCGGGCCATTCGCACAGAAACGGATACACAGAAGATCGAGGCATCCACTACATGGTGTTCCATGCCGCCCTGGAGTGTCCTCCCAGTGAAAACGACGATGCGAATCGGGCGTATGCGACCGTGGACGTGTACGCCGATGGGCTGCACGTCCGAGGCGCAGGGGTGATTCCTACGCGGACGCTGGCCTGGTCCGCCAAATAAACCAACACGAACAACCGAAGATGATTTTTGTCCCCACTGTTTGTACAGTCAGTATGTATTCCAACCACACGACGATCATCGAATGATATTGGATAAGAGGGTCTACCATGTGTACTTGGGTTGTAGATATTCATATGCACTAAAAGATAGAGGTGCATGTACAGCATTGACAGCCACCTCAGACACTGCCTTGGACGAATCCATGATAACTACTGGTTTATACTACTAGGTACTAGTAAGTTGTATAGTTCACTTTATTGTCGATTTGATACAAAGTTGGGGAGGGGGTGCAATCGAATCGCGCCAACCAAACCGATCCACAATCGATCTGATTGGTTGTTGAATTTCATTGAGAAGGTTTTGATTGGCTAGTAGTTTTGAGCTCATCTGAAGTAGCCAATCAAATCGATTTCAATTCCAACGAGAAACCACAACACGAAATTTCACTCGAAAGCACAATATAGTACTACTCAAGTAAGTTAGTTGGTCCCTAAAATTTGGTCTACTTTTGTGCTGATTCGCCAAATCCATCGATCGATTCTTTGTACTGAAGTTTGTATGTAAAGAACGTGTCCTGTGGGGTTTGGAATCACACTAATTTCATGCACACCCTAATTCGATGATGTGTTGGTGATGGTTTCCTGCAATCTGATTGGCTAAATATATCATATGTCGATTATTCTTCTGTTTATTCATTCTCCATGTTGCTCCAGCTTACACGAAATACACATCAATAATCCCGCGGCAAGAACTATCCATAACTACTTGATGTCCACATAACGTTATGATACATATTCCGACATAGAAACCGAGGGTGGTATCGGTCATGTCAATCGTGGAGTAATTCTCGTCAAAGTGAAAGTTAAATTAAGTGGTTATAGCCCCGACGAGATGACTTCCATGGGCGTTGTTTGAGGTGGCGTGGCGTCCACGACTTCAATCGCGCGGTGAGCAAACGTGTACTCGTGCCGGCGGGACTGCAATGTCACGAGCACCGTGGGAAACTCGACGATCGCCAAATGGCGCAAGTTGTCGGCCAGTGGTTTGGTCGGGTCGAGTTCGTAGTAGAGCGGCGTCGACGCCGGCGTAAACTGCTTTTTTATCACAAACAGCCACTCACTCTGGACGTCTGCGTGCACGTACGATTTCAACTTGGTGCGAACGGGCACGTTTTCCTATCACACAAATCAATATATAAATTACTCCTGCGATGATGATCACATATTGATTTATAATGATATATATATGCATACATATATGTATGTGGATAAGGTGGTTTCAAAAATCGTTCTGCCAATTTGAAGACATACGGAGCCAAGAAATGTGATTGGATAAAAAGAATGAAGGTTGCAATTTATGATTGGCTAAAATGAATCAATACGCACAACGAGACTTCTCTTCAACATAGATATATATATATATCACATTTCGCAGGTCGGACGATATGTATATATCATATTTCACAGTGATTGTTGGGCAGTTCATTCAACCAACCACGAAAGACAAGTAGGACCGAATGAATATACACAATATGGGCGATTGTCAAGATATAGTAGCCAAGGAAATGACATACCAACGTGATGGCCAAACGCTTTGCAACCACGTCACACAGCGACTGCCGCTCGGACCACTTGGGTTCGACGATGGTGACGTGATCCAAGGCAAAGTGCACTTCGACGCGCCAGTAGAGACAGTCAGCTTTCGAGTTGAACGTGGACGTGTTGGTTTTGTGCTTGGACATGCCAGGCGCGTGCAAATGCACAAATACGCCGCGCTTCTTGGCCTGTTGGACGAACGACTGCACTTGGGGAGGAAATCGCTTCAAGTAGTCGGCGGGCAGCTCTGGGTTGACTGACAACGTGGTCGGTCCAGCTGCGACATATGAACCCTTCTGGTGTCGCTTGGCCTTTTTCGGCGGCGGCGGTGGCTTCACCGCCACGTCCAGATGGACCGCCGACGTCGACCGCGAGATCTCCTGGAGGAAGAAGAAATCTACAAAGACGACGTTGAGTCGTGGGCATGGACATGTATGCTTCTTACCGCTGGATATGTCGGCGTCCTGAAAGTCGGCCATGGCAATGTACTTGGTGCGATCGCGCTTGCCGTCGCAGGAAAACTAGGTGGTCGTCGTCAGGACACCAGATGCGTCGATTATTCCGAGAGTCAAGATGGTTACCTGCTTCTTGTGCGCCACGCAACATGCCAGAGAACACGTGATGCGTTCACATTTGGGGCATCGGTACTTGATGTCGGCACGTGGACACATGTTGCACACGACGACGGCGGACTCGTGTCGCTTCCGCTTGCCAGCATTGCCGTCTGTAATTGACACATGGGGAGGTGATTGTTCGGGCTCCTCCATCACTTCCTTGTCCGCTGGTCCTGGGGCCACATGGGTCTTCGACATGCCGCTCATCCGGAGTTGGGTTGATGATTGAAAATGGAGGCGACCAAGGGAAGCAGACCAATCATTGCCCAGCCAGCATATCCAAAAGTGGAGAGCCATTTGATTGGCTGAAAAGATCACCAGTGACTATAATTACCTTATCCAAGTCTATATACTCGTATCCACAATGTGAAGTAAAAAAACACTCCAAACTTGAAATAGTTACTTGTTTAAGGTAATTAGCTGATAAGATACTTTCCCATGTCAGACCCGAATTCGATCTGCATGAAGCCCGTCGGACGCTTTTACTATGACATCATCTCGCCATTCGGGTACCTCTTCTTGAAGATGCGAGCTCCTTTGGAGAAGAAGTTGACTCTGAAGCCAGTCCCCATCTTCCTTCCGGGGCTGTTGCGTGCCCAGAGCAACATCGGACCAGCGGAGGTCGACGTCAAGCGCGCGTACACGTACGCGACCGTTGTGTGGAAGGCAAAGTCATTGGGCGTACCGCTCACGTTTCCGCGTCGCCATCCGTTTGCGTCAGCCTCCGCGCAGCGTCTGCTTCTCTCCCTTAACGCCGATATGGCCACAGTTGACCGCGCCTTTGCCTTTGTCTGGGCCGACGGCAACGACCCCGAGACTCAATGGGAAGACTTTTGCGCAGCGCTCGACCTCCCACGAACCACGCCCAAGCCGGAAGACAAAGCCATCAAGCAAGCCCTCATTCAAAACACGGCCGATGCCGCCACCGCCGGTGTCTTCGGCGTGCCCACCGTCGAAGTGAATGGGCACGTGTTCTGGGGCTGCGACCACTTCGACTGGTTGGTCGAGTACCTGGATCACCCCGACATGTTTCAAGACTCAGCGTACAGTCGAGCGTTGGCTACCGAGAATCCCCTCGCCAAAGCAAAGAAGCTCTGAGTGTGCTTGCAAGTATATTTCGATAATGACATGAAACTAATACGGTGGCAATAGCGACTCCATATGTCGTTCAGCCTTTCTCCATCACACAGGACTTGAACGCCCGTGGCTGACAAGTATCGTGGCTTTACATACTCTAGAGTACCCCCCTGTGACCCACAGATCTGACGGAGTTCCTTGGCTGTAGCTTCCGTTGCTGAAGTCGGACCCGAGCATCATATGCCGCGAACAAGATACAGCTTGCTGTTCCGGCAGTTACACGTACTATCCGGATGACGGTTTCATTATTACTAGTATATTGTAACTTCAACCTGTCTATGGGATTAAAAATTCAACCCGAGCAGCGTGAGTACCTTCTTGGACACTTCAACGCCCAAGAAGCATGCAGCGTTCGCAGGGAAGGCACGGGCCATGGCCGGCCCCACGCCCTTGAAGAGGGCGCCATGGCCTTCCGCGGCAACCAGCTTTTTGTACGCGTCGGCAATGCCCGAGAATCCCGAGGCGTACGTGCCTTCAGGGGCCGCTTGGATGCGGGACTTGATCACATCCGGCGGGATGGCCACGACCCAGTTGATCACACCAGCCATACCACCAGCAATAAACGTTCGGAACGCGTTCAATTCCTCGGGCGATTGACCGGCAGGAGTCAACGCGCGCTTCACGCCTTCGTACCCCGCAAAGTACCCCACGGACCTTGACACATTGAAGTCAGCACATTCCATGCCTTGAAGGACCTACCCAGGCACGTCGCGAAGCAAGGTCGCTTCCCAACCCGTGAAGACGCTGCGAAGGCCACCGGTCTTGTACAGATGCTTGGCGCAGTCGCTCATGCCGTTGAACTGAATTGGTTCACCTCGGGCCACAGCTTGCGATTGGATCTGATGTGCAAGGAAACGTGAGATCATGCATTTGTCTTGGACTTCAAACGAAAAAATATACCTGGAGAAGGCACTTGATCCGCTCACCAGGCGCCATGACAAGGGTAGTGGGAATGGCAGAGAACCCACCAGCAAACATGATCTGGTTCATCGATAGCTTGTCCGAGTCTGACATCCCAGCAGCTTTGCGCTAAGGACGTAGTTGAGCTTGGGCGATGCATGGCGTCGTGCCTTACCGCAATCAAGGCTCCCATGTCGTACCCCCAGAAGCAAATGGCGAAAATAGGCGTTACACCGACCAATGGCGCCGACATGCCGCGGTACAGACCCTTCACACCGTCCTTGGCGATGATTTTGCGTGCGCAATCTGTGGCACTCGCATATAGAGGGGCTTCCCCGGCCTTGGGTGTCGGCATCGTTTGCATGTTCACCTTGATCAAGTCGAGGGGGTGTCCCGCGGCAACCAAGCACATACCTACAGACAACCTGTCCGCATCGAGGCGTCATTTCATGGAGTTCATACCGCCGAATCCACCAGACAGGAACGACTTCAACGGTGTGCTTCCTACGCAGGAGCACATCATCCTCATGAGTTCTCATCGCTCGGTATCACCTTCATATCCAAGTGGCTCATCTGCGTACCTTGCTGGACCACTTGCTTGTCTTCAGCTGTCATGATGAAGGAAGATCAGAAAATGATCCGAAGGAGAAATCCTTGAGGGTTGACGCAACAAAGTGTGGGGCGATCTCGTATCCGGATGATCGGCACTTGGATCCGGATGTATGACGTGGGACCATGACATTTCGCACGGTGAAAAAAGTGGGAGGTGTGCGTTGGCTTTTTTTATTCACTTGAAGTTCGTATTGGATTTGGAAAAACAATTAATCAAGATCGTCCCGCATGTTGAAGTTTGTCGACTCATCCACACGAATTTTCAAGCGAAGTCCTATACTGGTATTAGATAGTGTAAATCCTGAAACCACGAGATCAAAAACCCGTTGTTGAGTACTATGAGTTGATTAGTACAAGCTGTGAACGAAGATTTCGCTCGAATTAGAGAGGAGTTCCAGTGAAATCATCGATGGACTTTCGGCATTTACTGTTAACGTTACGATCTTCTTTTACAGTGTGCATTCGATCATCATTCTTCGAATACTTCGAAGTATGAATTAATACATAGTTACGTTCGTTTGTCTTACAGTTATCAACATACTGTAGTACTCGTACTAACGTTAGTATTAATAAGTCAAGTGTAGTTTTATTCACTAGCTGTGAATCGCCGTTTAAACAAAAAACGCACATGCCGTTACAATTGTAACCGCTACATTTGAACTTGCAAATCCATGGTTCGGGCAAAGCGAACTGGTGCCGTCGCGGCGTCAACACCATCGATCGGTCGACCCACGACGCCGAATGCACCAGCGCCAGCCGTACTGCTTCCAGAGAAGTCGGCCGCACATGTGGCGAAGAATGCTGAAAACACGGTGGAGTTCCTGCATCGCACGATGGAGGCCGAGGGGTTCTGGACTCCAAACGCAGATTTGGCCGTGTACTTGAGGCAGCCTCTGCTCAGTCTGCACTCGATGGGCCGCGACGAAATCAACGTGATATGGACGACCATGCTGGTGCTGATCCATTGCATGACCAACCTCGTGGATTACCATCAGTACTGGATGAAGCTGGCCGACACGGCGCGGGCGTGGCTGTTCCGGCAGCCGTTTTTCGAAGTTGCTTATGTGGATTTGATCAAACGAGGGTGTGTTCTCATGGGCGGAGTAGACCCAAAAGCTATGCTCGCGTCCGTGTTCTCGAAGGACGGCAGCACCACCGACGTGGACGCCCTGCTCGAACCACGACGTTGTGGGAATTGGGTTGACATGTACTTGGACACGCCCCCATACTCCAAGTACTATTGGAACCAAGTGACGAATGAAACGCGATGGGATCACCCCAGCGAGTATTCCACGACTCAGCCCAGTGCTGCTGAACGAGAGGCGCAAGTCCGGGCTCAAGTGCTGGCCACTGCCAAAGCCGAACGGGTGGCTAAAGTGCTGCCCATGCGAATTACCATCAACCGCAAGCCATATATGCCACCGAAACCAGAGGTAGTGCTTGACGTTGCCCTTAAGTCGTTGCATGTTGGTGACGTGGTGATTGATGCTCAGGCGTGTGAATCTTGCGTGGCTAAGGAGGCCAAGACCGCGTCCGTGTTCTGTCAAGCCTGTGACTTGTATCTATGCGATGGATGCTGTGACGCCATGCATCTGCATCCGAAACGAGCCAACCATTGCGACGCGGACTTTCGATTTGCAGTGTGTGTAGGGTATATGGGGTTTCCATACAACCGCCACAAAAAGAATTGATCGAACGAGCCAATATTCGTGACAATGGCCGACAATTGAGCCAATCCACGGTTGCCATATCAATTATTAAATCACATACTTTAACCAAAACATTTATATTGTATTTCGAGTTGGGAGTTCTCCATTCGAATCCCGCGGCGCCGTAATTTCCATGTTCGGCTCGACAGCAACCTCGTTTGGCGCGCCGGCGACCACCACCGCGGCGCCATCTTCAGCCTTCTCCTTCGGTCAACCCCCCAATACGCCTGCATCAGGGCCATCGAGTGGTGGGTTCTCCTTTGGTAGCGCTACCACGTCGCAGCAGCAACCGGCGGCGGCAACGCCGTCGGGCTTTGGTTTTGGCACATCGACAACTCCTGCCGCCGCACCAGGTAACGCGTTCTCGTTTGGGGGTTCCACAACTCCTGCCCAGCCACCCAACTCGTCGGTGAGTGCGTTCTCCTTTGGTGGGTCGGCTCCTCCGTCCACCACTGCCAGTGGTGGCGCGTCTGGGTTTTCCTTTGGCGGGAGCAGCAGTACACCTGCAGCATCTGCAACGTCGACGGCCACCACGACCACCCCATCCTTTTCGTTTGGAAACACCACCACGACGCCTGCATCCAGCGGCTTTGGCTTTGCTTCGACCACCAGCACCCCTGCGGCGCCCAGTGCGTTTTCATTTGGTGGGTCATCTGGGTTTGGCAACACAGCCAACAAACCAGCGACCGCCTTTGGCTTCCCCTCTGCCACGACCTCCACCACCTCTACCACCACCTCGGCGAATGCGGCCTCGTCCTCCATGCAAGCCGCCGCGTTCGCCAACTCGCCGCTGGACAGCTTGCAAGGCGTGCGCATGGCCTACACCGATCCATTCCAATCCCGCTTCAAGTACATGTTCTACAACGCCGTAGACCCCGCGCAGAAACATTTGTACACGCGGCCGCCCCATGTCGGGGAGAAGCTGTGGATCCAAGCGCAGCGCGACAACCCAGACCCAGCCAACCTCGTACCCGCCGCCGTCGTCGGCTTCAAGGAGCTGTCCACGCGCATCCAACTGCAGCAAGCGCACATTAAAAAGTTCCACGGCTACGCCAAGGTACCTGTGCTCCTCTTTGCAGCGCATGTCGTCATCCTTCTCCATGATGGCGGTATCAAGATGGAGTGAAATGTCATGTAGGACTTGGTAGCGCAAGTACAAGACATGGAAAAAGCATCGCGGCACACAGATGTCAAGTTGACGCAGTGCCGGCAGCAGCACATTGCACTCTTTCATCGCCTTGTGCAGGTAATTTATATATATTCTACGTCGTATTTACAGATATATATATATATCTAGATGTAGAACAAAATCCTATGAATAGTAGATGGTTTCGAAAATTGGTTCGTGTATACTATTAATTAATACTATGTGTTTTCGGTGTAGAAGGTTGTTTTATTAATTCCCTAATTTTTTCAGATTGATATATAAATAATTTGCTGTGATGAATCTAATCGATGAAATTGTAGCTCATGCGCAAGCTGGAACTCTTCAAGCAACTTCGCAAGCCACTTCATCCGAGCGAACATCATTTGGCGTACGTACCTCTCTTCATATCTATCTTGTCATGATCACAAGTACTTGGTTCTCTGTGTGCATATATATATGGCTAATGTTGTACTTGAAGTATGTATGGGGAAAAGATATTGTTTTTTCCAAAATGTGGACTTTTGTGCTGATTCGCCAAAATTAATATCGATCGATTCGATGTCTAACGATCGTCCAGTATCACACTAATTTCAGTCACACACTAATTTCATGTTGCATTAGTGAATTTGATTGGTCACTTGATTCGTGTTCTGGGTTTTGATTGGTCGATCGATTGTCTGGCTGCTCATTTGATTGGACTCGAATTTTGAATCATGGTGTGCCGTTCTAGAGCAACGTTGAAGCACGTGCAGAGTTTGCTGGACAACCCGACGCAGTTCAAAGCCCATATGCATGAGCTCATGACGCTGCAGTCGATGCAAGCGGCGTTGCCAAACCAGCAGCGGCCAGACGCCCAACTCACCGACGAAGACATGGCCACGGTGTTTCGGGTACGATGATCATATGATACCAAACAAACCTCATGGCTATGCAGGTGTTGGACAAGCAGCGGGAAGGACTCGAGCATTTGACACGCATTTTGAACCAAGATTTGCGAGATGTGCAGATCATGAAGAAGGCGCTGGAAGATGATAGTGCGTAGGAGGAGGACCTCATCATATGCCAAGATGGAGGAGGCGGCGGCGGTCGTTGTAATCACATATCCGATGATACACAAGTGTATTAGCACACAAACGTCCACCTTCTATCTACAACAGCACGACACGACACCGTCCTAATCACCTACGCGTTACAAGATAATCGTGTATGGTCGGTCATCCAGGCACATGCCATCGGGAGCAGTCATTCGAATATTTAGTGGTGGTAAGGATCGGTGGGGCCCCACGTTTCCACGATGATGGGGGATTCTTCAAATTGATGGATAGGAGGAGGCGACGTCAAGGTCCATTCCAACGTTTCGCTCAATTCAGGGATCACGACATCGGGATCCTTCGAGATGCCGGCGGCTTCCGACGTGAAGGTACGCGCGGCGATGGGGCGAGCCACGGCAGAGCGAGTAGAGGCTACATGCAACATGAGTCAACCTGTCGTGGCTTATCCTACAAGGAGCCATATCATGCACGCGCGTACCGAGGGTGCGGAGAGCGGCAACACGAAGCATGGTAAAGTCAATTTCTGTTCTGCGCCCTTCGTTTGGTCCCATCCATTGGTTGCATACTTTTACGCAGTCAGCCCCAAAGTATACAAAGATCAAGTACACGATGCGTGTCCGTATCCCCGGATCCGGATAGTATCCGGAACCGTTTCATGAACCGCCCCGAAAAATTACCGGATATTTTATCCGAAAACTTTGGAAGCTGAAAACATCATGGGACAGTTTACGGTGCACTCAAATTGGCCAATGGAATTGCTTGAATTTTGGAATAGCCAATAAGCAAAAACAGCATACTTCGAACTACGTATTATACTAGTACATATTTTAAGCTTAAGTTTAACAGAGGAAACCGTGCACTATATAACCCTTGCCTCTTTGAGTGGAAATCAAAGTCAATGAACGCCAAGCTGTGAAGTCTAATTTTTCGCACTTGCTAAAAGTCTCTAAAAGATGGTCCAACCTTTTGGCTTCATGTAACTTAGCACTTTTCAAACTTGAAATCCTGAGAGACGAGTAAGTTAGGTGCATTGGTTCTATGACGAGGACTATAACTTGGCCATCTACACTTTGGATAGATGATGGTACTGCCTGCATCTAGGTCAACACATGTCACGTGCTATGGGCATATCTTGCAAGTCATGAATCAATCACCACAGGCGTCCGTGCATCTATCTATATACTGTACAGTACTTCTGTCAACCCCTCCATCACAATGTCGACACGTATAGAAATGCATTAGAACCGATTCGACTTCTTGGTGGGTTTGTTGGATGCACCGGCGGCGGCCTTGCGCTTGAGGTTGGCGACGATCGCATTCACTTCCGACGACTGTTGCGGCACGACGTCGGCCTTGTCTAGTCCTTGGGTCGGCTTGGACTTTGACAGTTGTCGCCTCGTTTCAAAGATGGCATCCGTCGCCTAATATATTCACATATACCCATCATATACCCATCATATATCCATCATATATCCATCATATACCCATCATATATCCATCATATACCCATCATATATCCATCATATACCCATCATATATATCCATATATCCATTCTCATCCTACCTCGGTGCGCTTGAAGCGGGCGTCCGTGGGGTCGAGGCTATAGTCGGGGTGGTTGGTCACAAGTTGGGCGAATCGGTTGTCGGTTGCGTTGAACGCAAAGCCTTGCTGGAGGCCCGTCGCATGTGCTTTCAACTTGTCCACGGCGGTCTTGTGCCGCTTTCCCTTTTTGTCCTTGTGTTTCTCCAGCTTGGAGATGAACTTCATGTCGAAATCTCGCTTGTCCTCCTCGTCTTCTTCTACATCACCATCCCCCACGGCCGCCGCCTTAGCCTTGACCGTCTTGGCGGCGTTCTTCATCGTGTCCAGCTGCGCCGCATGCGCCGCCTTGCCCGCCACGCGTTTCTCATGCTTCTTCACGTTCTTCTCGTGCTTTTTCTCCCGCTGGTACTTTTCAAACGGCGTTTCATTTGCCGCGGCATCCCGCGCTTGCTTGGCTTTGAGCACGTCCATCGAGTCGTTGAATGTCATTTCCATATCGCCATCTCCAAACTCGTCGGCATGGCTCGATGTCTTCTTGCTCTTCTTGTTTCCATCCTCCTCCCCCTCACTATCATCATCATCGTCTGCATCGCTGCCGAGCAGCGCTTTCCTGTACTTGAGCTTGAGCGCGTCCAAGTCGTCCTCATGCTTGTCGGCGGCATCATCCTCGTCCGACATGGCGACGTACGCGGCGAAATCGTCATCCTTCAGGTCCTTCCAATTGGCCGGCCGCGTGAGCTTGTCCACCCGCGCGCCGTCGCCTTCGTCCCACGTGCACTCCAACTCTGTGTTTTGCAGCGCCAGAGTCGCAAAAATGGATGGCGTGTACGTGTCCGGCACCGCAGTCGCCGACTCTTTCGGGGGGTTGTTAAATGTGACATCGTTCGGCACGAAGCGCAGGTCCAGTGTGTTGGACGAGGTTTCGTACTCCAACCCATCACATGCGTCAAACACGGCCGACGCTGCCGACACGGAATTGAACGTTGCTACTGCGTAATAGTACTTTAGCTTGTCCAGTTCATGTCGACGGAGCTTTTCCTTGTCGAATCTACACGTGTGATATATATGTGTGTGATACATGTGTGGATTTCAGATAGATAGATATATTTGTATATATATGTTTCGAGTCGTCGAAATTGTATATGTATTCAGATATTTATGTATATAGACCATCGACAGACAATTGACCAATCAAAAAAAACCAAAATCACTATTGTGCTTTCGAGTGAAATTTCGTGTTGTGGCGTGGTTTCTCGTTGGAATTTAAATCGATTTGATTGGCTACTTCAGACGAGCTCAAAATTATTAGCCAATCAAAACCTTCTCAATGAAATTCAACCAATCAGATCGATTGTGGATCGGTTTGGTCGGCGCGATTCGATAGCACCCCCTCCCCAATTTTGTATCAAATCGACAATAGTGGCCAATCCACTATTCGCTTCATAACTTGCAACATCGAATTAGTGTGTCGACTGGTATTAGTGTGACCCTGGTCGAGTGTATCATATGTATATATATACTAACACATATGTCAACATTGTCAATATGTTGTCATATAGCTACCAAATACCTAAGTGGGAAAGCATAGTTGTAGCAATAAACGAACACACGAAAACAAACGCAAAAAGAGCAAAAAATGTCGAAAAAAAGACGAAATAATGATCAAAAGCAAAACCCACGACAACACGTACCCATCGTCGGCGTCTGCGGCAGAGTTCTTGATACCCAATGGGTCGGCTTCGTCAATCTCGTCACCACTTTCGTCATCGCTTTCGTCACCACTTTTCTCGGGTTTGTCCGCCCAGAGGCCTTGAGGTCCAAACTTTTGCTCGTCAGCCTACGAATATGATCACTGATCAATCCATGCATGTAACAACACTTGGAATCATTGGATACAAAAATATTTACATATTTTGAAACATATTCACCCGAAAAAAACTACTGCATTTTCGACCAAAAGTGCAAATTCTCATACCCAAAACATCAAACATTACGTTGAATAGTACCATCTTTTACACTGTTAGTATATATATACTAGTACTACGTAGTACTAATAAAGAATAACCGAAACACATACTAGTACCAGCTGTAAGCTAGCGAATGCAGTTAGCTAGCTATACGTGTTCGACCATTTCCCAAGAGTTTTGATTAACAATAAATATTACGAATCAAATATTGTGTATTCTACTCAAAATTTCCTCTGGCGGTTGGTAGAATGAACGGATGTTCGAAATTTCATATAAAACAAAGTTGGAGTACTCCAATCAATATTTGTAGCCAATCAAATTGCAACCTTAGTTCTTGGTAGCCAATCATACTCGTTTGCTCGATTAGTTCCAAAATAGGCAAAAGTTTCACTGAAAAGCCTAAAATAAATAAAAACCGTTCATAAAACCAATGGTTCGTAGAAAAAAAATATTAAATTTTGTAATTAAATCATAATTAATATTAATACCATCATCGTGATGACAAGATCGTCAATATATGCACAAGACGCACCATTCTCGCCAAGCCAAAGTCCGATGGATACACCACAACACTGTGGAGGATGCCCGCGGCGGGAAGAAATGACTGGAAGAGCGCGAGCAAGTCCACGGCGCGCATGCGACTCCAGTCGCAGTTCATGATGGCGAATCGCTTCGTTTCATCCCCGAGGGGAATGTCTTCTTCTTCATTGTCTTCTTCGATGTCTTCTTCGATGTCGTCACCGTCGTCGTCACTGCTTTCTTCTGAAGACGACGAAGACGATTCGCCGCTCAACTCGCCGCGCGCTTTCTTGTTGAGGTACGCGATGCGACGCTCGGCGGCCGTCGACGGCTTCTTGGACGCCACTTCCCCCGTGTCCTCGTCGTCACTGTCTTCGCCTTCGACGTTGTAAAACTTCTTCATGTCGTTGTCCTGTTTTTCCACGCGGCGACCATACTTGTCGTACTTGCCTACTCGTCGCATGATCGCATGCAAGGTCAGACAACATGAACTCGTGATTCGACAATGTCCTTCATCAAGGACAACAACACGCACAGAAGAATGGATATATGTCGATGGGGGTGTACCTTGAACGCTCTGGAACTTCTTGTCGGTCAACACTGCTTTGAAGCGCGTGTCGAGCTGCACCTTGTTCTTCTTCTTCGAGTTCCGGGCAAAGCGCTATGCAGACCATGGACGCATGAGGTCTCCGTGGAGAGATAAAGGTGGTAGACACGTACAGGGTCATTGTGGACTTTGATGAAACGAGGGTCCGTCACCACGGACGTCGGCGCCGCCGCCGATTGTTTCTTGGACGACATATTGCTCTGATGAAAATGCAAGTTGAAGCCATCGATTGATTGGTGGTTGGAAATGACCCAATTAAGTGCGCCGGGCTTTATCCAACATTGGCAGAATTCAAAATTGCGCGCCAAGTGTCGCCGCCGCACGAGTCCTTCTCTACTCTATAGATGACGCATCATGAACGCAGCGGTGATGAGCTTACTGTACCCGTCAATGCAAGCGACATGGGTTCCTGCCAACAACGTCCAAGTCCTTCGACTTCATTGCCATGAGTCACGACAATGGAGTCACACCTCCCCCTCATATAGTAGTTCGTCCTCCCATTGTCAAATGTATGCAAACTAAAGGTCACGATCCTTTAGTTTGCATACAGATTCATTCGAGATGTCCTACAAGGCGATATGGAACGTCGCACGCAGTGTAGGATCGATGAAGTCAGCACGGACAAGTCTGCAGCCAAGATATGTTGCGTTCTCACCACATTGTTCATGATTCGATGGGTACAGTACTATAAATGAGTGGTGCTATCAATACGTGATGACATTCGAACCCGGAACGCTCGAGAGCGCGATGGTTCTCATGCAAGGATGTCATTGCCGATAGGTTTCGATGCGTCGTTATTAGTACCTTCGGCATGATTGCCGTCACTCGATGGTTCGCTCAGGCATATCATAATGGAGAGGCACACATCGTCAATCGAGAATGTGATAACGACCAAACTCATTGCAGGGGCTGCTGTATCATACAAAAATGCTTCATTACAAGGCCGAGTGCAGTTTCTTACGCCGACTTCGGGACTGCAGTGTCCAACGTGACGATCGCCTTCTTCCAGTCCTTCTCCTTGTACACAAATCGTCCTTGCATCGCGCGCTTGAACTTGCCTTCGTAGTTCATCGTCGCGACCTTGACCACGGGCAGCTTGTACACCTTTTGCAAGTATTCCTTGATGTCGTGCTTGGTGTAGTTGGTTTCCACACGGAAGATGTGTTCATTGTCTCGCAGACGGGTCTTGGGGGTCTTGGCCACGTACGTGACGGCCATGTTGGGGAAGCGCAGCCGATTCCACACCATGATGCCAACACTTGGAAAACTGACGGCGACTAGCGCTTGGCGGCGCATTTATGCATTTTATCCAATGCAATCCCGTGAAATGGTAGCTATTTTAGCCAATCAAAGGAGGGTAAACGACTGGCGTCGCCCTCGGCCTCGAAATCGACCAATCAAAAACAAGAATGTATTTTAGCCAATCCGATTTAATCTCGATTCTGACTGGCCCCGCGGATTTGCCCAACTTGACTGGAGGGAAACCCAGGAGCGCGGATTGCATAATTCATTCGAGTTCTCGCCCGCCCACTCACATTAATTACCATGGTACGTGAACGTTGGCCCGATGAACATGATGTCTAGGAAGGTTTCAGGTCGCAGCATGTGCAGACATATGCAGGGGCATGATGAATACGATGGGCAGGTGGCTAATGCATCGCGATGTGTTGTAGGATCAACCAGTGAAGCACGCCAAGGTCATCAAAGTGTTGGGCCGCACCGGTAACACCGGTAACGTCACCCAAGTGCGCGTGGAATTCTTCGACGACTTCGGCGGCAAGGAAGCGCGTTCGTTGATCCGTAACGTCAAGGGCCCCGTGCGTGAAGGCGACATCTTGTCCTTGTTGGAATGGGAACGCGAAGCTCGTCGTTTGAGATAAGTGTCGGGCGGCAGCAGGTAGCCACGAGCGCGTCGTCAAGTCTTCTGCTGCGTACACTACTGCTCCAACGGGATGTGCTGTGGATTGTTCTCAACGGATGAATGCGTGCGTCCCAAGGATCGTGGTGGTAGTAGTTGAAGATATGGCCATGCCTTGTAGCCAGTCTTGAACACCTCCTTTGTACGGTTATTTTCCAATGAGAATATGTAAATGATGGGCACTCTCTCGTGTTCGCTTGGGGTTGCCATAACACACATGCATCAAGGGTGACACATATGTACGACCACAATCATGGTCTTATGCCAGAGGTTGATTACGAAGTCGATTTCAAGCCTAACGAGTGCTCGACCAAGCTCGCTGTGTATATATACATCAGCGATTGGTTTGACTACATAGTAGAACGTTTTGTACTCGACAAAATCTAGCGGAGGACTTCCGCTTCTTCACAGGATGGTGCCGCGACTGAGCATGCATTCTCTCCATATCCTTCACTAGAAGAACCCGTGCAATGTCCTGCACATACATGGATGTGTCCTTACATCACACAGAAAAGCCCCCATGACTCCACGTTCACCATGCTGAAGATAGCGTCCTCTACAACCTACCTTGTCATGTCAGAGCCAACCTAGCTGCGGTTCCTGTCATCATGCGTCGCTTCGCCAAAGATCCAAATATCTGTCTGTCGGGTAAATACATATGTGTACCGTCAGACCACCTTTTGTCACTGTTGCTACACAGTGTACGTCGGTATTGTACGTACGTACGCTTTATCTTATACTTTGTATGGCTAATTGTACATCGTACAATACACCGTACGTACGTACGTGAACGTTCGCTTTGGTGGCGCTGGGTGGTGTGCAGTCATTTCCCCCACGCATTCCAGGAGAAACATCATGGCCGTTGAAAAAGTGGTCCGCTGGCACAAGCTTGGTCTTGGCAACTTCATCGTCCACGAGCTCAAGCGCGATGCGTTCCGTCCGTTCTTCTACGGCGGCATCGCGTCCTTCTTCATCTGCGGTGTCCTCCCCACGTTGGGCGCGTCCGACGAAGACAAGGCCAAGTCTGTGTTCTGGCAACGCGTGAACGGCAAGTACGACTGGGCCGCCGAACACCATTAAACCACCATCGCCGCCTATCGAACATGACAACGGCAGCGTTTCCTCTACACCTCCCCACACTCGATCGATATACACCGTCACTACTCTCGTCTGTTAATTGTGTTAATGGAGAGAGACGCGACACTACATCCGTCCCAGTTTCCCTATACGCGCCCTTTAGTGTGTGGAACTTGGAGTTGTTACAGGGAGTTCAGGACAGCCAGCTTGCGCACGCGCGACGGCCCTTGGTACACCTCGTCCGGCACGTTGAAGTGCGACGGGTCAGGTACGATCGGAGGCACCACCTGCACGGGTACTTGCCATCGCAGTCGTTCCGTGGACTCAAACTCGAATGCAAGGACATACTCGTGGCGCACGACGTCCGTGTCGATAGTCGGCGTAGCGTCCACCGGCAACGCAAACCGCATCTACCCATATGACGTAAGAGTCTCATGTGTACTTCATCATGTCGACATGCGTAGGAGCGGCCGTCGTCATCATCCACACCATTTTCCATATATATATAGATAGATGATATTCATGCTGGATGGCAGCAACAACGACATTCACAGAGCTCGTATGATCGTGCCACGATTCCGTCCATGTTGATCATAACGTTAAGGAGACCTTATATATATATATACCGGTATGCATTCCTCCAGCCACACCTTGCAATCAACACACCACCATATATATATATATATATATTCACTTGATCAAGCACAAACTGTATATATATATATAAACTACTGTATATATATATATATATTCACTCGATCAAGCACATGCTGTATGCATCTCGACTACAGCATCCATCATGCGTACACATAATGGCCACCAGAAGCATACTCATGAACGCACACATGCAGCCAGTCGTACATGCGTGTGCAGGGCGTCGTCCGTGAGCTCCGCCGCGGTCTGCAGCGTATGAGTATGGACAGCGCGGCCAGGGTCGAGGGACAGCGCGCCGAGCGACTCGCTCACGACAAGCGACGCCGAGATGGACGCGCAAGGTTGCGTGGCGCCGGTGAAATCAAATGCCACGAGCACGACGTCCCCCGGCATGTACGTTTGCTTGAAAAACGTCAGCTGCACCAAATGACAGGCTGCTTGGCCGATCGTGTAGTGCCGCGTGTGGGTGCCGCCCACTCGTTCTACCGTAGATGAGACAAGGTGTCGATGATGAGGCAATGTGTCGGGTGATTACGAGGAGTACTATGTTGGGGATGCTGTACGGGGGAGAGATGGGGGACAGACTACGTACCGATGTCGACGCGGCCGTGCATGGGTCGCGGTTTCACTTCGAATGGAATCTCGTGGCCACGGCGCACGGCAACGGGAACGGTCCGGACGTCGTCGGTGGGCGGCAAGAAACCGACCGCCGGTGGAACCAGCAGCGTTCCTGGATGGCTGGATGGAGAGGATGTGTCGATGGGCGGCGCGAATTGAAATGACGGTGTCGATGCATACATGTCAAAGGGAAGGTGCAGCGATTGAATGGCGGCTGTCCCTTGGACCTTGAACGTAAACGAGAGGGCGTAGAAGACGCGAGCCGATGTGCCTAGAGGAGACGGAGGAATATGGACATGATGAGCGCGTGGGGTGTGCGACGCATGATGGGCAGATGGTACGCACCTTTGAACGACGGACACATGCTCGGAGGCAACCCAATGGCAAAGTGCGACGTCGTCGAGTGCTCGACGTCGATTTCAGAGTACAAGACGGTGGGTTTGCTCTGGTAAATGCAAATTCCCGTCGGTCCCGAGAACGTCTTGACGTCTGGAAGGTTCAACGACTTCATGAACGACTCGTCCATGGCTGCGACGGGTACAACTGGAACAGTCAACACGTTCGAGTCCACACAGAGGTGCCCGTGCACTTGGGCGACGCCCCATTCGATGTACAGATGCCTTGGGGAGTCGATCTTCACGTAGCCACGCACCGCCCCGCCAGCATGAAAGTACGCACAAGTCAATCGCGCTTCAATCCGCACGGATTCGCCCATGTGTGTGATTTTTTGAAATGTCGACCTTCCGCATGTTGATTGGTTGAATTTCACTTCTTTTAACCAATGTTATCAATTCTCGTGGAATGGCGGTTTCAAAGTAACCGAAGTAGTTGGCATTGACGGGGATGCGGTGGCCGATTCGCGTCGATGGATCCTGTTGTGGCGGCCAGTGAGTTCATTGCCCACCGATGGCACAAACCGACACAGTCGAGGACATCGGATGCCACTGCGTCCTTGCATGGCGCCACGCATGTGTACGACTTCCATCATCCCAAGCGCGACCATCAGCAGCAGCAGCACGTTCATCGCCATTTCCATCAGCATCGAGCGAAACATGCGCAACAATGTGATCCAAGCGCATCCCGGTTGGATGATGACGCAACGGTGTTGTTTGCGTATCAGCCCTTGTATTGCGAAGAATTTATGGAAGCCCATAGCGATGCCGTGGAGTTATCGCGAGCCCACTTCGCCATGTCCCGAACACCTCGGGAGCGATCTTGTGCCACCGTCCCCCCGAGGCGAAAGAGGCCACAGTCCGCCACAGTCAAACGTGTGACACCCGTGAGCTGTCGTGCCGTCGACAGCACCTCCAGTCGCGACCCCGCGGCCGCCATGATCTATTGCAGTCCCGGGTTCAAGCAAAAGGCATTGCAACGGCTGGAAGCTGAAACGTATCGGCTATTGGACCACACAAGGACAGGGAGCGCTTTGATGGCATGGGAGACCCCCACCCATGACACCAGTAGTCGTCCACGTGGCCCGGGGCTTTCTGCAGTGCGGATACGGAATAACAAGACAGCAGCAGCAGCTTCGACCTGCCTAGCATCCCAGCGGTACGACGAGCGATGCGCTCGCTACATACTTGCGTGATAGTACACTTGTACGTAGGCCTACCCTTTCCGAGATGCAACGAGCGTGCCACGTCATCTACAAGTTTGTGTGTCGTTCGTACTTGCGTCGTAAACGAGACCGCCTCGTTCTTATGCTACATACCAGCTACCCAGTCGGTGAGTTCTCGGACGGGGTAGTTTCCGCGTGCAAGCAGTTCGCGTCAACGCGGCGCCGCGCGGGGCTTTCTACCCACAAGCACACCCTCGCGCATTCCATTCACCAGCAGAAGCGGGAGGAGGACGACGACGAGAAGATGGCAAAGACGAACGTGTCCGCCGCTGTCGTCGGTGTCGGCCAAGCCAGCGCCAGGAAGCAGCAGTCCGTGTCCTCAAAACACACAGCTTGTCGTCCAAAACAACATCCTCCGTCAAACAAAGCACCTACAGCCCCGTCGATAGACACCCCACACGGCGGCGTGGACATTGCATTCAAAACCCCAACACCGAAGTCGTCTAATAAGACTGCCAAACCACGAAAGTCAGCCCAGTCGGCGCACTGTACCATGGAACGAAGCGACCCGCTCACCAAACTTCGACGGCAAGTGCTGCTTCATCAAGCCAAGGCCACCAAACACGACGCCGCTCTGCATTCCACGCTTGCAAGTTTGAGCGAGCAGCATGATGGGATTGGGGGAGGGGATGCCTACGTCAAGGGAACCGCCGCGTTGCTAGCTATTGACATGTACTTGCGTCAAAACCAACGGCAGACCAAAAAACGTTGTGGGGGGGCCACACGACGAACGCGCCGCCTTCACCTGCCAAAAGTGGCTCCGTACGAGTGGACGCGACCTGCACCACCACCTATTCACACGACTGTACCTCCAGTCACCCACGCGGTCCTTGCACCAAGTTTACACGAGCAAGATCATATCCACCTTGAATCAAACTGGACGTTGTTGGAATCGCAACCCCCAGCGACGTGTGCTCTCGACAACAGCGGCAGCCACCACCTGCATTCATATAACAGCCCCAACACGATGGCGATGACGTGGCCTCAAAGGAACCTACATTCCACCAGCCGCCTCGATGAATGCGTGTTATTGTGCGTTGCTGCAAATTCTTTGGACACTGCTGTGGAACGAATCATGCCATGCCAAGATGCGATGACGCCCCTGACAGCAGTCCACTCATCCGACAAGGTCGACGTGATTGAAGGAACCGACTCCTCCCCGCCCGATGCCAATGACTTGGTTGGTTCACCAGGTGGCTACAACAACACCATTTCAATACAACATATGCCAACAGTTTGCCCCCACCTTGCAAATGCAAGCCCCCGAGGAGGTGGCCCCACATCCCCATTGAACTCCCCCAATTCCATACTTGTGTCGTCGTTATCAACCTCCAGTGAATGTCCTTCAACACGTACCATCGAGGCAACAACTACTCCATCAAGTCCTCAACCAGCCCCATCTACGCAAGAAACCCACGAGATGGAGCTGGTCGCCTCCATGTACAGACACTTTTACGCGGCCAAACGCATTCAAAGATGGTACTGTCGACAAGCGGCACTTTGCCATTCGAGCGTTCATCCCATCGACGATACAGCACTGCACCAGCCCATGTCGCTTGAGCAAGTTCAATCGAGCAAAACTACTTCACAAAGCCTTGTTCTATTATCCCCCTTGGATTTGTGCTCCAATCATTCCCCCCAGTCCCCCCCGATTCCCCCATTCAACACGGCACACACCACCGCTTGTTCTTCGTCCTCAAACAGTCCACAAAGCCCAACTGCGTTATCACACACTAATTCCGTCGAGCCTTCGTCCGTGGATCGTACGTGCCACGCCACCCACACTATTCAACGGTGGTGGCAGCGGCACGCCATCTCTCGACCACCCCACGACAACGCGATCTTGACCGCTGCTGCCTTGACAATCCAACGGCAATACAGAGTGTTTGTCAACCGTGCAGACATGCGGGGGGCGCTCACGGCCTTGCTACGGGCACACCGCCGGCACACACGGAAACTGATGCAGACCACGCCGTCACCGTCCAAATTGGCAGCTCCACGGATAGAAGGAGACCCGAAACCTAAGTTAACCACACGAATCAGGCCGTGGCGCTCTGCAGTGTGGGCGCTAGTGGCTGTCCGTCGACTCATCCAACGTCGCAGGGCGATGGACAAGGCAGCTCGAACTGTCCAGAGTCAGTTTCGAACGCACGGACGGCGCCACGTCATCGCGGCGGGCATGCGGTTGATGTTGCTCCACAGAGCCCGACAAGTCCAATGGGGTGCTTTCACGGAGAAGGGCGGTGCCAATACAACCGATAGGGGGACCGAAGAAATGGTCGAAGATACTAGGAGCCAACGTCATGGCGGCGACGATACTAGGTGGGACGAATACACGGACCCTGAGACCGGCGCACCGTACTTTTATAACCCCACGACTGGTGAAACCAAGTGGAAACAAGTTGAAACGACGACAAAGATGGCGCTGCAGCAGCCCGTGGCGGAAGTAGCCAGCGACGACGGCGACTACATGATTGCAGGGTTGGCTACCCCCAGCGTCGTCTCCACGCCTCGCTCACCATCCTCGGCGACTTCTAACCACGAAACAACCTACGCTCGGGTGGACGGCGGCGGGACCTGGACGCAAGCGGCCGACGAGAACGGTTGCGCGTACTACTACAATACGGCCACCAACGCCATGTCATGGAACCCATCGTCGGCGCAACATCCCCTTCTTGCGATGGAGACATGGGAATGTTTTACAAGCAAAGACGGGGTGCCTTACTACTACAATGCATTGACAGGAGAAACAACGTGGACGTTGCCGAACATGTAATAGAAGCATTGTGCTTTGCCTTTTTTGGCAATTCCAGGGTTAAATCCATTGTTTAAATATTTCTCAGGCTAAAATAACGTCTAAAATAACGTAACGGTTGGGTGCGTTGTTTAAAGTAACTTCATCTAATGCGATAATTGGCTGGTTGAAGGTGGTTTTACAGGCACTTTCGAAAAACAAGTTGTTTGCTGTTTTCATTCTGGCTAACGTAAACGATCAATTCCGTGCGCGATTTCTGAAATGTCCATGACTTGAACGACTCTATGTCCTGGAGACATGCTCCAATTTTCACGATTCAAATCGCATTCGATTCAAATTGGCTGGATTTATGGATTGCTGAAGGAATTATCGGCTTTGACGAAGAATCGAAGTGTGCAGAGCAATTTTCGTGGTCAAAAAGGCATGATCAATTCAGTGCGCGCTTTCAATCATCTTGGATTTTGTATTGTGTGTTTTGTGGGTCAAGGAGAGGGTTAGGTATTCATTCTCACAGTGAAATATGAATAATGACAATGTATTGAATCACAGAGGAACGTTGTCCCGCACCAAAATATAACCGTTGCTTCCAACGACAACCCGCAGGTATTTGGATATTAGCCATCAAATACCTTACTATATAAGGTAGTTTGGTTTGAAAATGGCCCAATCATTAACCTGTTAGCAATCAAATACCCGACACCTTCCGTTAAATATCCAACACGTTTTGTGGACACTTATTCTAATCAAGTACAGAC